ACATATGTTGCAACTAATTTTAGCTTATGTTGCAACATTTTGTAAATTTGAAATCAATTGCTGTACCATCTTTAGATGAGACAAAAGGAAATCTAATAGGCGAATCAGTATGTTTAAAGCTAAAGATGTATTCAGTCCTTCCAGCAGGTCATGATCCTAAAACTCCTGAAACAGAAGCGGATTATGAGAAAGAGCTAGAGGAAGAAGAATTTGGAAAATCTTATGGTGTAAAGTATTGGGAGAAAAAACATGGCATCCAAAAGGCAAAGGGTGTTAAAAAATGCGTGGTCAAAAGAGAGCTTCGACATGATAAATTTTTAGAATGTTTAAGGACTAGGAAGCTAACCCGACATGATATGTATGGTCTCTGCAATTATGATCATCAAATATATCTGGAAAGAGTAAATAAGATAGGGTTAAATCCATATGATAATAAGCGCTGGATCTTACTTGATGGAATTTGAACCCACCCATATGAACATTGGTGAATTAGACTATATAAATGCCTGATAGCATCTGAAATATCTCCTGAGGAAGCAGAAGAAAAGGCTATGAAAGCTAAACTTTGTGTCAAGGCATAGATGTTTTATAATAAATATTTTTTCAGATAAAAAAAATTCTAAAGAATATATTTTCATTAATTAAAGTTTTTCTATTACTATAGTAGAAACATACAAAAATGGTTGATCATAAGGATATAGAACTTGCGCAAGTCAAAGTCATAAAAACATCATTATGAAAAGGCAGAAAATATGATAATCTTGTGAAAAATTATGGAGATTATCTAAAGAAACTGTGAGCTGAAAAGGATCCGAATAACTATATTAAGACACTTGCAGTAAAATGTTTCCTAAGGAAGAAGCATATACTGAAAGGCTAGAAAATTATCGCAAAAGGTATGAAGATAATGATCTATATACTAGTCTAGAGGAATTATATAAGCTTTATTATCATATAGCTAAGGAGGAGAATCGCGAAAGGTCAGATGATGAAATAGAACAAATGCTTATAGCAATGGCAATCTAGTCATCCTTTTTCTCATATTTATTCAAAAAAGAAAAGCTATTAAGGTAAACAAATAGGATAGGATATCTTTTGCAGTATCGAAGATACAAAAAAGGGAATATGATCAAAGATGGTATTCTCCATGAAGAGGTCGAAAAAAGAGCTATGAGGGTCAAGCTCTTAGAAAAATACCAAACGAATATGTGTCTCACATATCTAACTTTCAGCCATAAGTTAGATAGTGATGTGTAGTTGGATTACATACATTATTATATTATTTTTTCCTGATGTAATAAATATTCAGTTATTTTTTTTCAGATTATAAAAAATGTCTTCTAAAAAATATCGAACATATTATTCAGAAAAAGAAAAGGTATATGCTATTCAAGAGATCAAAGAGAACATTATAGCGTTAGAATGTGATATAACTAAAATACATCAAAATCTTAAAAGCATTGGCCGAAAAATCAATTATCTATATGATGCTATAACCGAATCATCTGAGTCCAGTACATCCGAGTCGAGCTCAGCTGAAGAAGCTTATACAATAGAGGAGGAACCCAGGGAATCAGTTTTTATGCCACTTAACAAAGTAAAATGTGTAAAGAAAAGATCCTGTAATAAGAAGGTGAAACGTAATGGATATCCATCCCGATCTGTTAATGTTGAATTAGGTAAACTAACTAGTAATAGCTAAGAAATCTAAAAATAATAGGCGCAAGACCACAGTAAGTTCACTACTAACCCTATGCAATCCAGCCAAATATGATCACATATATGACAGGGCAACTGACTTTATCACTGTCAAGAATATAAAGGAAGACAGGATTGTTAGCGTGATCAATTATCCCAAACTGTGCAGTTATTTGGGAATCTGATCTGGTAATGATTAATCGATTATTTCCCCTAAGCGTCTTATCGCTCAACCACGCTAGGTCCCTAAGAAGGCAGGATTTTCTGGCTTCAAATTTATAAGAAGGCGGGATGAAGGTCAATTTTGGAATGTTGTTTCATTCGGGATCGGCAAATTAATTGACTATTAGGATTACTATATTTGTTTCATGTTTTGTGACGATCGTAGCCTTAACTGGGAGTATATTAGTCTTTTTTTTTATTGATTTGCAAGGGCTAATGAATGATGCCATGCTGTGTGTAATTGCCCAGTCCAAAAGGGATCTCTAATAAAAATCCGGCAATATCTTACTCCTGCGACCCTATAAAATAAGTTAGAAATATTATTTTTTTTCGAAAAAAAACATTACTATGGAAACCAAGAGAACTCCGCTAGAGTCGAAAGCCCGAATACCTCTGTTGATAACAATATGGAGAAGCCAGAGGAATCGGATACAGAAGATTAAACTGACAACATCTAAAGCAGTGATATTTACAAAGTACAACTGAAGCGTGACAGATCCCTTAAATTCTTGTGTTGAGTATACTAAAATATCTTTCCGAAGATATTCTTCGTGAAGAACCAGACTTTTCATCTATTAAATCCAATGATACTATCCAGGATTGTGAGGCATGTCAAGAATGTGATAAGTCTATTTTAACAGAAGACCCACCTAGGTCGCTCGTTTTAAACGTTTGTGGTGATATAGTCCATCAGACTTGTGCGGGAAAACCTGATAAGAGGGGTGTATTAGAATGCTCGTGTGGTTAGAGTTGATAAAAATCCTAATTGGTCCTAATTGGTCCTGATTAATTTTAAAAAAATTATTTGTTTTAAAGATTAAATTTTTTTAAATATTATCATTATATTCAATTTTTTAATTAAAGTTACTTATTAAAATAAGTTT